ACAGACATAAGCATGGCACGGAGAGAAATTTGAAAATAAGGGTAGCTGGGATTTCATGAGGTTGTGAAGTGAAATAGTGCGTGAGGAGTGGAGTAACTCAAATACTGGATTATTATTTTAACAGTAATTGGGTCTCCCCTTTTTTTTTTCCTCTCTCTTTTGGTGCAAATCGTTCTTTCTTTTCTTTTTTATTTTTTCCCCAAGATTATGAAAATGAAATTGTTAAAAAAACAAAAGAGTACGAATATGAAAAAAATAAATAAAAGAAGGACAAGTACATTGTAAAAAAATATTGAAAAATGATTTGAGTAAGTACTTTGAATATTAATATATATTTCAAATTGTTATCGAGTTGTTCTTGCGATGGTCAATGGTCAATTGGTAATTATTTATTAGTCAATATCTCTCATTATCTCAATTGTGAAAAAGTTGTGTTAAAAATAAAAAAAAATTGTGAAAAAGTTAAGATTATTCATATTTTAGTATTTATAATTTTGCCTATTGGTCGATGATGTGCTTTTCAAACACACCAAAGAAGAGAGGTAGTTTACAAGCAGGGGCAAAGCCAATTTATTTATTTATTTATTTTTTTATTTGGAGGAGTATAGTGTAATAAAAATTTGAACAATTTATAAATCAATTATAATATAATTTCTTTTTATAATATTACTCTTTAGCAAATAAATTCAAAAATACAACCTAGTTAAATTGAGATAGAAAATTGATATGAGAAAAATATATAGAAAATATAAAATGATAAGATGCATGTAAAAAGAGAAGTGGTAGAAGAAAATAATGTTAAATAATTTATTTTTTTTACTGATTCAATTTTTCAAAACTCAATTTTTTTGAAGAAAAAAAAGAGAGAGTATTTTGATTCCAATCTTAATGAAAGCCTAAAAAATGGTGCCTTTAACTAAACAAAACATTGCAAATCTAGCAAAACACAACCCTACGAGGAGGTCAGGACAAATAAAAAGGTACTTTAATAATCTATAGAATAAGCAGTTATAGAGTTTGCTATTTAACGGTAATTGACAACTCAAAATATTACCATATATGCCATCAATAAAGAGCGGGATTCCCCTCAAGGAAATTTGTGTCAGAGCACCTTCAAATATTTAATCATTCGTTGTTACAGAGCCACGTCACCAACATACCATTCTATTATTAATTTATCAAATTTAATTAATTAACTAATAAATATTATATCTTTTCAACTAAAATTTTCAAATAATAATTAGGGTAAAGTGCAATAAACCCCCTTATACTTTACTCTCTCTCCCAAAAAACCCCCCCAAACTATTTTTTTAACAGAAAACTCCCTATACTATCCAAATTTTTCCAAAAACAACCAGATGACACTATTCCGTTAGTTTTTTACCGTAAAGTAGTCACCTGACCTATGCTATAAATTGAAAATGACAAACCTACCCTTTCTAATTGGCCCAAATCGAACCATCAACCCCCAACTCCACTCTCTCTCCATGCTCTGCAAATTGCAATCTCTTTCTATGCTCTGCAACTTTTCAACAATCACAGACGAAACTCACCACTCTCTCTCTCTCTCTCTCTCTACTCACTTTCCTTATATTTAATCAACTTAATTTCCAAATAGTACCTCATAAGCCAAACATCAAAATATCAAAGCCAAATAAGTATTTGAATCTCTGTTTCTGCTACTGATTTTTAGATAGAGTAAGTAATCCCGAAACCCAGGTAAGCTATGAATATATCTAGAAGAGATTACATACAGTATGCAAAATACATGAATTTCAATTACATTTGTATTTGATTTGGTTTTGGGTTCTTAGGGACCAAGGTAAATAATCCATACAGTGCTGGTTGGTGGTCGGCGGTGATGGGGGTGGTGGCGACGCCACCGCCTGCTGTGGTTGTCTGTGTATGGATCACCATAGGAGATGGGTTTGCAGCTGGTTATCGGTGGGTGGTGGTGGTCGTCGGATGGTGGGTGGTGGTGGGTCGGTATACGTATGTGGTTAGGCTTGCATGAATGTTATTGATAAGGATGAAGATGGGGATGTTGGTGATTAACAATATAGTAACCTTTGTAAAAAACATTGGTGACAATTTGGCAGATAATAGATGTTCAGCCAATGCAAAAAGGCAAGTGCAGGAGTGTCCTTGTATCCTGCACCTTTCATTTTCAGTCCAAGTCCTCTAAGATATTAAGATCAGACGGAATAAATAACACCCAACCATTTTTGGTGATTGATTTGGGCTAACAGCCGTTGCCAGAAAAAATGACTTCAAATGTTAGTGTGCCAAGAACTCTGTTTTTCTAATTTCATCCAAACACATACATTTGTTCCTTTTAATAAAATGAAGATAAGCACTATATTTATATATATATTTACAAAGATAATAGATAGATACCGAAGATTCCGATTCCAATTAAGCAGACAAATAAATTTATCAACGCATCTCTCTCTTGATCACATGTGAGATAAAATATGAGATAAAATATTGCAAATATTGCAATATTGCAAAAGGGTCCAATAATGGTGAGATAAAATATGATTAAGATGTGGTAAGTTGAAAAATAAGATAATAAATATGTTTTAATTTTGGTTTTTCTTATCATCAATATGGATGAACTCAATGGCTGAAGGAGCTGTGGTTTCTTGGATAGATTTCTAGTTAATTGGGTAGTGGTCTGGTTGGTATTTGGCACTAAAATAAAATGTGGACCGTAAGGTGGTGTTTGGCCCTAAAATAATAAGGGCAATTTTGTAATCTAATATTTCCGACGAACTCCGGTGCCCATGAATTTGAATTTTGTCCTTAAATTGTATTTTTTAAATAGTTTAGGGGGTACTAATTAGTTCAGGGGGGTTTCTTGTTATAGAGAGAGTAGTATAGGGGTGTTTATTGCTATTTACCCTAATAATTATGGTGATTTCTAAAACTTTCACTTTACTTGTTGTCACTAAAATTTCCAAAATAAGCTTCCCTCTTTCGATTTCTCATTCCTATCATTAATCTTTATTCGCTAAAATTTAGGGTTTGGAAGATTTCACAATTTTTTTTAGATTGAGAAAGTATTTTAAAATCTTGGTATATTAGATAACTCAAAACTCATCTGAATCTCCTCTATTTTCTAGAGTTTTATCTACTGCAACAAAGATTTCACAGTTTTTTCTGGATTAAAATATATGGTATCGTTTGTGTGGTTCTTTCACATCCAATTAGTTACCTTTCTACAATTGGATTAGTTCCGGAATTTACAGTTGAAAATAATTTAATTAAGGGTGTGAGAAAAAATTTGAAAATTTAGGTATAATTTTTTTTTTTTGAATTTGTGAATAATAATATAGATTTCACTACATCAGAAAACAATGACAAAAAAAAGTTTATTTTCTTCTTAAAATTGAATTTGCCAAAAATGTAAAGTGAAAGTTTTAGCGAATGGGAAATATCTATTTGTTGATAACTAAATATATGAGAGAAAAAAAAACTATATATATATATATATATATATATATATATATATATATATATATATGTAATATTGAAATATTGCTATTTAAATATTACACAAAATTTTAAAATATAATTATAAATGAGAATAATCGTATGATAAATTATATATATAAAAAACTTGTTAGTAGGACGATGTTAGAATTTGATTCTATTTTTTAAGACAGATTTGCTTAGATTTGCTTCGTTATAGTGTTAACAGACTCTGTGGCGTCTATTTCCAGGATACAACGATATTTCTTTCTTCAGTAACAGCACTTTAAATCAAAGAAATGGACGAACTAACTTGGTATAATAATCTCTCAAACTTGCACTCTAAAACTATGCAAATAAGAAAAAGAGAGGGAAAGAAAATTTAGAAATCTGTAATAAGATTTTGAATGATATTTAAAGTCAACTAGGTGCCTTTTCGCATTTATTAGATAATTTTATCATTTTTTATTTTTTATAAAAAAATTTAATTATCTTTTTATAGAGTTACTATTATAAAATATGATAACATTATACTAAAAAATATTATTATAAAATTAATCATAATATCACAACACCTAATATTTTTTTCACTGACACAATTTATTTTGATAGCTCCAATGCTGTCTCCAGAAAAGCAAACTATTATTCTACATGGACTGGGAATGGCGAATGAGTAGAGGGGATGGAAGAGAGAGAAAAGAAGAAGACAGAGATGGGTTGCTGAACGTCAATTCAGAAGAATCTGCAACACGCATGCCCTTATTCGCCAGGTGACCCTAATATCTCTTGTTTTCCCCTCTTCTGTTAACTTAATCAGTAATTTTCTTGTCTTGAATCTTCATGTTCCAGTTGGTCCTGATGATACTGGAATACAATAATAATTTGTGAATTCCATTATTATTAGATTACGTAGAATTTTACTTATGTAGCGTTTGGGAGTACAGAATTGGCGCCTTAAATTTGGTATTAGAAAAATTTAGTTCAAAATTTTAACTAAATCGCCTCTAATTCCAAATTTAAGCCATGGATTCGGTACTCCCAAACATAACATTATATTAGTTAATTTTGAAGCTGAATTTTTGGACTTTTATGAGTTTTCATGCCTCATAAATGACCAAACAAATTTGTGAATTCAAGCATATCTAGGAATTTGGAGGGCTTGCATTTCTATTTTGTCACAGAAACCTTCAACACTTCTGTGATTTAATATTAAGGTTTTGTTTGTTTTGACATAAAATATATTTCTTGAAAAATATTTTCCTTTTTTCAAGTAATTAATATATTTTTTATTTTTCTCTATTTGGCCAAGGTCTAAGTGTTAAGATCAAATCCATCGGATGTGGGGTGTGTAAAATAACTCGACTAAGTAATCATGCAAAAACATAACAGTACTACATTAAGCAACAGTCCATAGTCCACACATAACTTTGCCTCTATATATTTACACATACAGAGTACAGGCACAGTGTTTGAAATAGGAACCTAGTCATGTTATTTATTGTGATTTAAAAAAAAAAAAAAAACCATTACTTGATTTCGTCAGTAAGATTGCGTTTGAGAAGAGTGTCTCTTGTGATTTTCAATTTGCAAAGAGCATCCCTCATGTTTACATGCCCATCAGGAGAACACTTTGCATCAGAAAAAAGCTCTAGCACCATAATTCCGTAGCTGTACACATCTCCTCCTGCAGTGGGTATATATGGTTTCTCTCCATGACCATACTCTGCATTGCAATTTATTTATAGTTCAATAAAGAAGTATGTAAATTAATAAATTATCGGCTAGCTCTGTTTAATCTGTACATAATAATTAAAATGGGTATTGCTTAGCGTAGTCCCCATTAATCAAGAGTGCTAGGAGGGGTAGATCATATACAGGCTTAATCTTTAGACCAAAATATTTTTTGTTTTAGTTAAATTGGTATTAGGACATGAGGAATAGAAATATGTACCAATCTGGAGGTTTGTAGCCTATAGAAACTCTGAGGACATGTGTGGAGCTGATGGAAGATTGATCTCTAGTTCTCTCGATTTACCAATCTGGTCAATCCAAAATCTCCCACTTCATGTCTTCATCTAAAAGAACACTGCTAGGCTTCAGATCACAGTGCACAACTGGGGCTTCACACTCATGGTGCAAATAGTTCATGACACAAGCAACATCAATGGCCACGTTTCTGTGCTTTCTCTTTCATACAATCCAATCCTCCATGCTCTCATTGCTCATGAACTCATAAACGACAGCCAGAAAATCTATGTTCCTAAACTCTATGCTCGAGCAATATGTGATAATTCGAACAAGATTCCTGTGTCTCACATCACTCAGAGCCGTGCACTCTGCGAAAAAGCTCTTCCAAGATCCATTTCTCTGTGTGTCAAGGACCTTAACTGCTATGGCAATACCATCTCTAAGATAACCCTTTATAAACCGATCCAAAACTACCGACTGAAGGTCCTCCATTTTTGCTTACGAATTGTTCTAAAGAAATCAGCCTGCCGAGTTTAGACGGCAACGACAATGTAGGAAAACTTTAGATTGATGTGTACTTTTTCCGATTTCTGTTTGGTTGATATATATATATATATATATATATATATATATATATATATTCAATAGGCATTTCGTTGATAGTTTTCTGAATTGTTTTTAATTTCTATTTGGTTGATAGGCATTTGGTTCATTGTACTCTATACTTTGATCTTTCAATTGGTTCATAGTTTTCTGTACTTGATCTTCAATTTCTGTTTGGTTTATATATATATATATATATATATATATATATATATATATATTGCAATAGGCATTTGGTGAAATTTAATAGTTTTTTTAATAATGTTTCAATAAAAAATTTGAGCTAAGATTTTTTCTGATTCAAATAATTATATTTTGTAATTTTTCAAAACTTATTTTTTGCTTTCCTTTGTGAGTTGATTTTTTGAAAAGTAATGTGAATCACTTATAGGGGTATTTTGGAGAAAATTTATTCTATTCTAAGATTTAAATTGGTTTAACCGAACATTTTTATGGTAATGATCATTCCATTAGAACATCATTTCTTGTTTGAAGCCAAATAATGGAATGAGAATGATGATTTCATTCATTTCTTATTCTCATTTCATTCCTACTTGAATTCCATTCCCATTCTATTTCATTCTTGCGTACCAAACAAGGCATAAGTGGATAAAACGGAATAGTATAAGTGGAATAAAGTTTTCCAAAATATTACCCCTACTTCACTTCTCTTTCAAAATATTGATTTGTGTACACCACTTATTTCCAACAAAGTAGCATCAAAGCAAAGCCAACAAGGACTAGCTGGATGGAGGAGGATGGGATGAAGAAGGCTAATGGAAATTCGTAGGGGATGAAGGATGGAGGAAAAGATTAGAAGGAAAGGGAAGGGTAGGGAGGATGGTGGGAAGGAAGTAGAGGGCTCAAAAGTGATTTGTGGGAGGTTTGTTAAAGGAAGAGAAGAAAAGAAAGCTGCTGAGAATGAGCTTGGATCATCCATGCAAAACAGAAGGTGTTAAGCATGGAGGGAGATCAGGGAGATGGATGAGCAGGAGAGAAGGGAGGGAGAGAGAAGGAAGAGCATGGTGAGACCGTGAGAATGGTAGTTAGGCTACTTTAATGTTTCAATAAGTGTGGATTACATCCTGAAAATATATATGTCCACCTATATAAGAGTAATGATAAGGAATCGTCGAACATATTTGACTAGATTTACGTGAGTAGGGATGACATCACGATGATATCATCATATTTAATGATGTCATGATGATGTCATCCCACTCACATAAATAAGTTGTATGTATCCGACTTTTCGACTACTTATCATTATTCCTTATATGATATTTATATCAATTCCATTCATACCTATATATAACTCATAATTATTACGCATCATTGATTGTTGATGTAAAAATTTACCATGACATCATAACAGTCATACAATGTTCTCGGATTCAATTTACAAGTACATCTGACACATATACGTCCTTTTATCACAGATCCATACATGAATGCCATATGTGTTAGTCTCGAAGTAAAAAGTTCATCTCTTCACTCATGACTGCTAAGTATAAATAAAGGTTATTAAAGAATGTAGAAGAACCGGAAAAGCTTTGTTTTATCTTTATGATTCTCCAATCATGACAAAGTTTTTACAACTTAATCTATGACTAAAATAATATTCATAAATTATACACATACATGAAGGCAAAGTAATAATGTATCTGTCTAAAGGAATCAAACACTTCACTTCAAAAAATTAAGAAGAATATAATCGATCAGTATATGTATAGTGACCGAGAAATATATGTATACATGTATATATATGCGTACATGTATTTGTACAACCTTGTCATTTCTGAAACATCAAAAACGCACATCTAAAACTACAAAAAATAAATAAATTAAGGAATGAAGTTCAATTAATAACTAGCTATGTATGATCAGTTTGGTAGAAGCAGATTATTCAATTCAAGAGGTCTTGGTTGAGCCATGGTTCTTCTCTTCCATAGATTAACTTCTTTTCTTGATTCAGAAGCTAATCCTCCGCCTTCACATATCCATATAGGTGCTAAGAAAGGAACGGTAATTTCTTCTTCTTTGGTCTCTCCTGATCTATCTTCATCATCGGTGTAATAACTCAGGCAATCCAACTCCACCGGAGCAATCTGAGCCGTCCAATCAGGACCAGTTAACCCATCACGACCACTCGCGAACCGCTTCATCTGACTCAAAGTAGGTGCCCTGTCCAAAAATTTGGCGGCAGAAACACCAGATTTTCTACCAGCAAATTGTTTGGCGGCAGTACTAAAAATATTCCAATTTATGGATGTTTTCTTACTGAAATATTTAGACGCCGAGACAATCTGATTGCTTTCTTTAATCTTGTTCTTGTGCTTGTGCTTGTCGTGGATTTGACCCATGCAAGAAACTTTAGGTGAAGTGGGTTCTTGAGCTTGGAAGGTTGAGTTCTCGGCCGGTTTCCATCGAGCTTCTGTAGGAATTATGGATATCAAATGACCAGAGTATCCTCTGCCGACATAGCTTCTTAGTGATCTCTTCTGATCCATAAATGGATTTAAATTTGGAGGGTTTTGGAAGCTGATAGCTGAAGCTGTTTTTGGTAGAAACTTTAAGTGCATGCATTTTGACTTAGAATCACCTTTATGTAGATCGACCATTGCAATGAACTCTCACTTGGTGTTGTTCAGTCTCTTCCTCTAGCTACAAAACACACACACACACACACACACATATATATATAAGACGATGAAAACAAGACCTCAAAGAAAGGGTGTAATAAGCAGTGTGCTGTTGACTTGGTCAAGAGAAGGGAAGTGAGAGAGAAAGTGCATGTGGTTGTTTGTTGAAAGGAGCCCACAAAAATTTAATATTACAACCTACAGCTTGCTATGATATATATATACTACGTATATAAAATTTAATACTACAACCTACAGCTTGCTATGATGTGTGTGTGTATATATATATATGCACATATTTCCATCCTTCTCCGTGTCCTGAATTATATAATTCAAAGTCTAAAACTACGTGCTAAATCAATTGACTCATTAAAGACACATGCTTCAATCATTTAATTAGGAAGAAAAGAACTTGTTATGTAAAATTTGAAAATTACGCTTCGATCTTTGATCTCCTTTTGAAAAGTAGGGATTTGATACCGCTAGGTCACTCACCTGTTAATAACTCCACATAAAATTATTCCTAATATTTTCTAATCATGTACCGGTGGGTTGTTCTTTAATATATTTTTTTTCTCTGTTTTTATAATCTCTTTGTATGAGTTGTTAATCAGTATAGCATCATTTTAAAATAAATAAACAATCAAAACAAAAAATAAAATATGTTGTACAAGATGTAACAGCTCTCAGAATTTGAACTCTAGTTTACGAATTTAAACATTTTATCAGTACACCAAGTAAAGGTTTTTATGTTTAGACCTCAATAATATTAATTATTCTTAATATTTTTTAAACATAATATTTACGAAATTTTAAACAAATTGATGCCTTGGATTTGTGCCTTTGTGGTTCTTTTGATTCCGTTTCTTTGTACGAATTGTTAATGATTGTAGTATAATTTAAAAAAAAAAAATAAATAGATTAGTGCCAGTTTTGTAAAGATATTATTGGTGCTATGACAAAAAATCATGTCAAGCCTAAAAAAAAAAAAATTCAACTTTTAAGAATATTTGGTTGCATAATCTTTTTTTTTTTGGCCAGGATTATGAGGTTCCTGACTGACTACCTAATAATTTCTTCCAAATATTGAACTTGAGCCTGCAAACAACAACAAAGGTATTAAATCCATATATATTCATTACAGAGATACATCGCCATCCTAAAATAAAACAAAGACACTGATCATCCACGTGAGACAAATAGAATTGTTGATTGATTTTTTAAATTTAGAAACTAAAAATTATAAAATGTGCAGGAAGAAACTCAGAAAATATCATAAACATCATTGCATTATATATACACTAGAGTTTTATTAATATATATTGCTTCCAGGTGTGTTGGGCTTGAATCCTACTAAAATGTTTTTGCGCTACACAATCAATGTTACTAATGTTATATTTGAGAGTACCAAATCGACACTTATTCAAAATGTCAATTCTGAACTTCCATATGCAATATAACTATATGAGATTTTTGGATTGTATGAAAAAAATAAATTAATTTTAATTGTGGTTAGGGCATCTTAATGAGGAGTGTGTATACCTTGTGAGTAGTTGACATTTGTCAAAGAGAAATTGCTTCTGATTGTGGCCAAAATGCTTCCAAGTAGCCTTTTATATGGGGCCAAATTGCTTCCATTTAATATTGCTACAGGGCCGAAGCAAATTGGCGCTACAGTGACAAAAGCAACCGATTTGTTGCTTCTGAAAATTGGGTCTTTATTCCTAGCTTTTAGGATACGGAGATTGTGACATCCGCATCAAGTTGTTGACGATAGAGATGATCACCCTATTTAGAAGAGATGAGAGTCATCTTTTCTACCTTCAAATAGGAGGTCGGCCAATAAACCACGTAAGTCGAATTTGTTGCGATTCATTGAATATTGTAATTATCACTAGCCACTGACTTGACCGTCGAAACTTTCTTGGCAGGCACCACACTGGTGTCATTGGTAGGGAATCCCTTTATTTTGCCGGAAATATTGTTCCAAATCGCGTGACTAAGTAGATGGAATGGAAGAGAGAGAGAGAGGAATTTTTTTTTTATTCTACTCATTTATTCTCGAATGAGTAGAATCTCCGACACCCATCCATTATTCTTGAGGTGACTCTTAAGTCTCTTTTGTTTTCCCCTCTTCTTTTAACTTAATCGAGTAATTTTCTTGTTTTGAATCTTCATATTCTAGTTGGTCTTGATGATACTGAAATACTATTATTCGATTATGCAGAATTTTACTTAGAGTGGTTTAATTTTGAAGCCGAGTTTTTAGTCTTTTTGAGTTTTCATGCCTCAAAAATTTAAATGTTGATCATGTTGTGTTTGGAAGCACCTTGAAATTGAAATTGATAAAATTTAGTTGAAACTTGGGATTGAATTTTTCTCCAATTTCAATTCTAAGACTTCTATTCAATGCTACAAAACATAAAATCATTGTATTCAAACCTCACCTCCATAACAACCGAAAATATGCGCCATATCGAATACGGCAAGTAAGTTAGTGAATTCAAGCATATTTTATGTTGGATTACCACCTTATCTAGGAATTTGGAGGGCTTGCATTTCTAATTTCTTACATAAACCAGTGTCACCAATACTATAACATTTCAAACAATAATCAGAAGTAACGACAGGATTTGTGATTTTACATTAAGCAATCATGCAAATACATAACAGTACTACATTATACACATACAGACAGTCCACACATAACTTTACTTCTCTATTATACACATGCAGACACATTGTTTATTTATAACACATGCCTAATTATGCTATTATTGTAACCAAAATAATCAACACTTGATTTCCTTAGTAAGATTGTGTTTGAGAAGGGCGTCCCTAATGCTTTTCAGTTTGCGAAGCGCATCCCTCATGTTTATACGCCCATCAGGAGAATCAGCTGTGCAAGATAGTCCAACCCCAATGGCCGTGACCAAGCAATCACGCTCTGATTCTGGACTTATTGGTTCACCATCATGGCAAAGACTGCCCTTGTTTAGAACCAGCTCACAGTCAACTACTTGCTCTACATTGGCAGGGAAAGCTATTTCCACCCATTTCCTTAGGCTTAAACCTCCCACAAAAGTCTCATGAGTTGGACTCTTCCCAGTAAAAAGCTCTAGCAGCATAATTCCGTAGCTGTACACATCTCCTGCAGTGGATGGTGTCTCTCCAAGACCATACTCTGCATCACAATTCATTTATAGTTCAATACAGAAGCATGTACGTTAATAAATTATCGCGTAGCTATGTTTAATCTGTATATAATATAACTAAAGGGTCATTACCCAGTGTATTAGTGCATGAGGAAGAAAACTACTAACCTGGAGGTATGTAGCCTATGGAACCTTTGAGGGCATGTGTGGAGCTGATGGAAGATTGATCACCAGTTCTATCGATCAACAACCTGGCCAATCCAAAATCTCCCACTTTAGCAGTCATGTCTTCATCTAAAAGAACATTGCTAGGCTTCAGATCACAGTGCACAACTGGATCTTCGCACTCATGGTGCAAATAGGTCATGACACTAGCAACATCAATGGCCACATTCAGTCTATCTACTACACTCAATCCCTCTCCATTTGCATGCTTCCTCTTTCCTACAATCCAATCCTCCAAGCTCCCATTGCTCATGAACTCATAAACGAGAGCCATAAATTCTATGTTCCTGTAGTCTATGCTCGAGCAAGATGTGATAAGTTTAACAAGATTCCTGTGTCTTACATTCCTCAAAGCTGTGCACTCTGCGAAAAAGCTCTTCCAAGATCCATTCCTCTCGGTGTCAAGGACCTTAACTGCAATGGCAATACCTTCTCTAAGTTTCCCTTTATAAACCGATCCAAAACTCCCTTGTCCAACCAGATTTTCTTGATTGAAATTTCCAGTTGCAACACGAAGTTCATCGTATGAGACCATATGGTGCTGTCCCTTGAAGGACTCTGATGACGCAGTGATTTTGGTTTTTCTTTTTCTTATGTAGAACAGAAAACCAACTGCAAAGCAGAACACTAATGTTGTTGTGACTGCGGTTATGATGAGAACCAAGATCAATCTTCTTGTACGGCCACCACTATTCTCACACGCCAAACGCAAGCAGAGCTTTGGGTTACCCTCCACAAAAACTCTAGAGAGATTTGTAAAAATCCCACCACTAGGAACTTTTCCTTCCAAGTTATTGAAAGAGAGGTTCAATAGCTGTAGGGCTCCTAACTTTTGCAGCTCAAGAGGAATTGAGCCAGAAAGTTCATTTGCAGAGAGGTCAAGAGTTCCTAAACCTCTCACTTCCCCTAAAGCACTTGGAATAGGACCCAAGAACAGATTATTTGCCATGAACAATTCCTCTAAGCTCTGACAGTACCCGATTGAGTTGGGGATGTTGCCTGATAAACGGTTGTGTGACAAGTCTATTGTGGCAACACTTTCCAGGTTCCCAACTTCTTCAGGCAAAGGTCCAGTCAGAAAGTTTTTGGAAAGATTCAAGTTGGTGCTTAACTTACGAAGATTGAAAATTTGTTTGGGTATGCTTCCATTGAGCTGATTATTTGATAAGTCAATTGAAAGCAAATCTGGGAAGTTCAAAAAACTATCGGGTATGCTACCCAATAAGTTGTTTCCTGATAAATCAATCGCACTCAACTTCCCAAGATTTCCAAGGGAATTTGGGATTTGGCCTGAGATATGATTTCCAGCAAAACTCAACTCCTCCAGTTCCTTCAACTGGCCTATTTCTGAAGGAATTTCACCAGAAATCTGGTTGTAGCTCAAATTTAGCAAAGCTAAGCCACTCAAATGACTAATTGAGGCTGGTATGCGTCCGTGAATACGATTTCCTCCCATGTATAATTTTGAAAGAACCTTGGAAAGATTGCCTATGGATTCTGGGATTACACCCTCTAGAAGATTGCCATCAATGGCGAGGAAGTTGAGACTGGTACTGTTTGTCAAATAAGTAAGAAAATTCAGGCCATCATCGCCTGAGCTAACAATTTTATTGAACCCAATGTTATACATGTGCAGGTCTGGGAGATTTCCCAGTCCTGGTGGCACCGTTCCATGCAAAAGGTTGGATGCCATGCGAATGATTTGAATCTTGGTGAGGTTGTGCAGTGAACCTGGAATGGTACCAGTGAACTTATTGAAGCAAAAATTGAAGACTAAGAGATTTGGTAGTGTGACTCCAACATCAGTGGGAAGTTTACCCCACAAATTATTAGAAGCTAAGGCCAAAGAAACCAGTGAAGACATGTTGTATATGGAGGGAGGAAGTGCGCCAGTGAGATTGTTGATGGTGAGATCAAGGTGCTTTAGATTTGGAAGGCGAGCCAAGTCACTAGGTATCACACCACCTAGAGTATTGGTGCCTAAATTTAAAGTGACGAGTGATGAAAGGTTGGCGGTGGATGGTGGAATGGGACCTGATAAATGGTTTTTGGCCAAGTTCAGAACTTGGAGCTCTTGGAGGTGGGTGAGCCCTTCAGGAATTCTTCCTGAAAACTCATTTTGCATCAAGTCGATGATGCTCAGCTTCGTGCACCTGCTTATGTTCGAAGGTATTGTACCTTCTATAGTGTTGAAGCTTATGTTCAGGACCTTCAGGAGAAAAAGATTGCCAAGTTGATCAGGCATTGTTCCAGTGAATTGGTTGTCCTGGAGTTGAAGTGACTCTAAGGAGGAGAGATTGCCGATATGAGGGCTTATGGAACCTTTGAGCCTAAGGCCAGATAGATCAAGCCCCACCACTCTCTGTTGGACTTTGTCGCAAACGACACCAGTCCAGTTACAGGGGGATGAGTTTTGGTCCCAATCAGATAGTGGGTTGGGTGGTTCTGTGCTTATGATCAGGGATTTGAATGAAATCAAGGCCTCCTTGTCTGTGACAATGCTCAGAGTGGATGACTCTGCCGCTAAAAATATGATTTGAAAGGAGATGATGAGAACAGCCATATGGGCAAACTGGACCATCAGAAGGTGAGGGAAATCCATGTTTTTTGGAATCTTTATTTTCCATATGAAATGGAGGATGTGTTGGTGGGTATTTAAAGGAAACACATCACTCTTCACCTGCCGTTTGCATGTGCAATGAACATGATTTGCAAGTGGATTTGGAGATGGCTACTCGATACGGATTTTTCTTGATGATAGTTCAATGCACATGCAATGCGCATTGACCTATTGCATTGCACCTTTAGCTCGTTTCTCACTGAGCAAGAACAAGTTCTACCTTGGAGTATAATTTACGAACAAGAGTTGATGAGGTAACAATTAAACTTTTCACGAATATCTCAAAATCTGTTACGTTTGAAAGCTCAAAATTACGTATTTCAAATGAGTTTAATGCATCACTTTTTGTAAATTTTCCTTGGTCTTTCAGTGATGACAAAACCATCTCTCTTCACTTTTATATGTTGTAGTGCTATAGCTGCATTTTATGAAAGCTATCATGACATTACATGTACATCATTTTTGTGAATTTTACTGTCTCCAACTCTCTTTGGTCCATAAATAACTAAGTGGGTGTTCATATACATCTGGAATAAGGGATACAAAAGAATTGTGGAGTATGTTTTCGCAAAATTCGAGGAGTAGTTGAAGTTGGTCCTATCAACCAAAAATTCTAGTCAACACCTTATTGAGGCTATATAAATGTAATTTATCTTAGGTACTAATTTAACATAAATTATACTATCCGAACCAGTCAAAATTTGATACGATCTTACAAAAAATTACATTGACGTAAATTATTTAATCAGTATTTGACATTTTCAGTCTATGACTACCACGTCTCACCATGAAATGATGTGGACTTCAAGTCTGCCTCAACTGGGACACTACCAAACCAAACCAGGGCAATCAATCTCGATATTGTGTCGAAAGACCGCTGTTAGGTTTAAAAAATAAAAATAAGAAGAACATAAAATAAAAAAAAGAGATAAATTTCACCTACTTCTCTTTTGGTTTAGACTACCTCTTGATTTTATAATTCCACTTAACTCTGATATCAATGATAGGATCTAACTTGATAATGGTTGAGTGTTATTTTACTGTTTTGCCCAAATGCTTGTTGTCATCGAAGGAATTAAAAGGTAAAATTAACATTCTAGTATTTATTACACATCAACCAATTTTATTTGTCTCAGCCAGGGGCTCTATCACAGGGAGAATCGGTTACATAAGTAAAATTATGAAATTAAGAGTTATAATATGTTGTTGGATCCAAAAACTAACGGTAGGATGTTGTTCAACTTGGCAGTATCGTTGAGTACTGATATTAGAGTTAGAGCTAGTTTGTTGGACATCACATGTAAAGATTATGTTATCTAAGAGAACAGTATTACAATTATACAAGGTGGCAGCAAAATAATAAAGTGATACTCATCTTCGCTCGCTGATTAAACTCTATCCTAGTGAAGGGATACTATGTGAGAACACACACACAAAGGAGAGAGATATTTCAACATGCATGCATTTGGTTGAAAGTATGACATACACAATGGCGCTGTAGTGTTGAAAATTCATACGCTGCCCCTTTCTTTGACACATTCTTTACCCTTACCGTAAGCATCAAGCAACATGGTGCTTAATGGTGCCTGACTTTAAAGACTTCCAGTTTTTCAAGTGACCAAAAAAGTCATGAGATCTTTACAAATCAAAAAATGTTTGGTATGATGACGAGTCTTGAAAATTTTCTTAGGTTTTATCTTTATCCTATTGAGATGTGCTTTCAAAAGGATTCTGACGACCCACCTAAGTTTGTAAATGAGATTATTTGGCTCATATCAGAAACAATGACTGTAAACTCAAAATTTTTATGGCCGTCCAATATATCTGATTAGAATAAATGGTACTTGAAATGATTTAATTTAACCATGTCAAATTCTTAGCAAGACAAACATTTTATTAATACCAAAAAACTAACATTATATATATATATATATATATATATATATATATAGAAACTCTGCATGCAACTTTTGTTAGTTTTTAACTTCCATCCTTTTGTTTTTCTCTTATTTGATTCGTAGTCCATATAAGCTGCTAGTCAGCCTGATTGTACCACTGTTATATATATATATATTATATAAATTATATCATTGCTGATAAAAAAACAGTGGTACAATCAGGCTGACTAGCAGCTTATATTGACTAAGGATCAAATAAGAGAAAAACAAAAGGATGGAAGTTAAAAACTAACAAAAGTTGCATTCAGAGTTTCTAGAACTAGTCCATTGAACTGAACATCATCAACATTGTCGCCGCTCGTGATCAGTCCTTGACTTTCTGAACAAGAGCATCTCTCACTCCAATGTTAGCACCAGAAGTAACAGTGTGAGCAAGCCTACCTTAATTATTTACCATGATCACACAATCTAGTTGTGTTGCTTGGATAATGAATTTGTTTTTGTAATGAATACTGTTAAGAAAATTTGGGGGAAAAAAATTCTTTCATTCAATGATACAATATTTGTACAAGAGATGTGTATGTATACAAGAGCTCTCCAAATAGAAAACGGAATTAAATCTTCTAAAATTTGCTAGAGTATTCTAGAAAAGTACAATGCGTACAATAATTAGAAAAGGAAAAAACTTTACAGTGAAAATTCTTTTGTAGGATCTAGAGAAGATTGTGGCACTATTACTCCGCTTCAAGTTGGACCATGAATATCAATCATGCTTAACTTGCAAAGAAGACTTTGCAAATGCTTTCTCACCAATGCCTTAATAAAGATATCAGCAAGCTGCTTGGATGAATGTAAATAAGCTGTTCGATTCAACCCACGTTGAATCTTTTTCACGAATAAAATGGTAATCCAATTCAATATGCTTTGTGCGCTCATGAAAGACACGGTTGGTAGCGATATGGAAAGTGGCTTGATTGTCACAAAATAAGGTAAATGTTGGTGAAGTGATTCCAAATCAGCCAATAGAAAAGTTAGCCATTGGAGCTCACATGTTGCTTGAGCTATGGCACGGTACTCAATTTTAGCAAATGAATGTGAAATAACATTTTGTTTTTTGGTCCTCCAAGAAATTGGACTTGAACCAAGAAAAGTGCCATATCAACTTGTAGATTGGCGTGTAATTGGGCAACTAGTTCAATTAGAGTCGACAGTTACAAGTTAGAGACAACTAGTAGAAGACAATTAGATACCCATACCTGGACAACCTTTCAGATAACATAAAAGACGTAAATCGGTTCAAGCTTCTTGGAACCGGTTCAAGCCTTCATCATTGGCTTCGAAATACCTTTGTCATTCTTGAACCAGTTTAGCCTTTCTTGAACTGGTTCAAGAGTCTTCTACAATTAAGGAAACTTTTGAATAATGTTTTGATTTCTTTCCTACTTGGTTTAGAATTGTACCAAAAGTCCTATGCATGAAATTTCCTTTATTTTCTGAAGGATTAGGTCTTTGAAAATTCTATATAAACCTTGATAGTCATCTAGGTTTAAAAACGGCTTTGGCATTACAATTTCATTATTCATAAATACTTAGGAAGATTATTTTTGGCGAAAATCAAAGTTGATTTCTCTATCAGTCTATCTAGAACATACATGATGCGGTCCGTCGTCCTACTGTCAAGTTTGAGAGTGTGTGTTTTAGGTGAGAGTCAAAAGTTTTACATTTATAGAAGCCACTACTATCTTCACTATAAATATAGCTAGGGCGAGTAGGGATCGTCCCAAGGGATTGTGAGGATCGAGCAATGTCGTGGAATCGTTATTAGGGCTAGTAGGTCGAGTGATCAAACAATTAGTTGGTTGGTTGATTAGAGAACAACTAAATTAAACTAAGTGATAACAAAAGAATGCAAGTAAGAGTAAGTAAGAGAGAGAGAGATCTTGGGGTTTAGAGATCACCACCAAGCAATGCATTTCTATACCGTTGACAAGTGACTAATGAGGGCAAATGGTGTGTTGCAATATTGAAATATGTGTGTGTTTGGTTGATTTAACAAGCAAGGATGACTAGTTAAGCATGTATTATCTAAACATCATGTGAAAGGCACAATATATCTAAGCAATGAAGCATATATTGTCTAAACAACATGTGAAAGGCACAATAAATCAAAACAAGTCATTAATCCTTTCATTAAGCTCACAATCCAAATACAACACAAGGATAGAGACATATGCTTCTTGTATTCAAAAGCTTGGATCATCAAACAACAAGCATAGATTGTCCTTCCATTTAACACTACACTACAACTACACTACATCTACAATACTAGCATGAAAATAAACTAGGGGAGAGGCACAATCCATCAAAGAATAGCTATGAACCATCAAGAGAATCACAAGAGTATTCCTTTAAGTACTATGTTTTGACAATCTCCAAATCTATAGCATCAATACACATAGACATGCATCAATAACACAAAATCTAGAGATAAGCACATGAACATCTACTCTAGCATACATAGACATATGGATAGAAAGAAATGATCAATTGGAAACATTAAACCACATAAATCATTGAATAAACAAGATCTATATATATCAAAGTGTCAAAACATCAATTACAACACTAATCCCTCAATAATACACAAGATTAAGATATAGAAAGCATGCTTTGGGCTAACTCTAGCCCCAAGAGGATGTCTAGCCACTCATGGTGATGTTGCTCCAACCTTCAAGGGCTAACTCTATGGAAGAAATCTGCTCCTTGTTGATGAAGAACTCCAATGGTGTCTCTAGCCTCCTCTTCCTCTAAGCTTGCTCTCCAAGAGATTAAACCTTAGAATTGTATATTAGCTCATTTTGTAAAAAGCAATCCTTATCCTTATATAGGTAGGTCAAATGACACCCAAAAATGAGCTGGGGTCGTGCACACAATATTCCCTAATGATTGGATAAAGGGCAACTTTCAATGAAATGGAAATTTAACTTTTTCGCACTGGAGGAAGTTCGATCGATCGAACCTTGGACTTGGATCGATCGAACAGGCTGAGATCCATCGAACTTAGGTTGGATCGATCCAACTGGTTGAGCTTTTTGGGAAAAGAAAAATTCGAGAT